TAAGTAGTCTGTTACACTTTCATTTAAAGCTAATATGTGTGCAGCATTAGTAAGGATGAGAAAAACATCAACATTAACAGGCAGTGAGGTGATTTATGAGGTGAAGATACTTTCACTCCCATCAAAGTCTCATGAATCACCAGTTTAAAAGTCAGAACACAGAGTGGTGATGAGAACCTAGATGAGCTCTGAAACCCCAAGTGGCCAAATGCAGGAAGGTCTCCACAACTGTAGGGGTTCCTGTTCAGACCCAAAGCCCAGGAGGGACATTTGCTGGCAAAACTTGGGTCACTCAAAGTGGCACAAGATGGCCCAGCCCCACACCACCCCCACAAAACTACAAGAGGTGCCCACTCCTTCCCTGAGGGACAGTAATGTATTTCATTTGAAAACATTCTTCCAATTGAAATATATTAATTTCAAGGTTTTACTGTGTGTAACAAAAAAAGCATGTTTGTGACTCTTACATTTTGTCATGTGTTGTGGACTACAAACATTATTCACAGTGCGTTCTGTGGATTGATCACTGTGTAGGTCTGTAGGAGTAACACAGGCTGTCGTCGCTGTGTCACAGCTCTCTGTCATAAAAGACATTTTGACTTTACTTTAGCAAACTGGTTCAGGTATATTTTGCTACAGATTCAGTGAATTAAAACAGTAATAAAGGTGCACTCAGCTGTGCCCTGGAAAAATGTCTAATAGTAAATTGATTGCAGATTTTATAATGTTGTTAATTAAGTCAAAATGTCTGACTCGCTTCTAGTTTGATCCACATGTGTCACATTTCAGCCCTTTGTAGTGACATCCATTTGTTTGCGTACCTGTTGTGTCTGCTGTGCTGTCTCCTTCTGTGTCTGTCTGTCCTTTTCTGTGTCACTCTACACTCGCTCACCTCTGGCGCTTTGGTCTTGTCTCGCTAGTAAGTACAGAGCAACCACTGCTCATTAAGCAAGCATGTTCATCTGCAGCAGCATGTCGCTTTGCAGCTCCACCCAGCTTTAAGGTTTTTATCAGGCTGCTGAATATATTTACTTTTGTGTTTGTTTGTTTTTCACCGATACTCGGAGCAGAGGAGACAAAGACCGACTCTCCGGCCATTCAGAACGGAGGCGAGGAGGAGAAGCAGACGACAGAGGAATTAGAGAAAGGGATGAAGGCCCTTTCAACCAACGACACCTCCACGCCCGCCGCCCCGCCCGCCAAACCGCAGGGCGGCACCCCGGAGGGCTCACCCTCCAAGTCTCCGTCCAAGAAGAAAAAGAAGTTCAAGCCTCCGTCGTTCCTCAAAAAGAGCAAGAAGCAGAAAGAGAAGGCAGAGACCTGAGACGTTCGGAGTCGTGTGGCAGAACCTCGGTGAAATACTACAGTGAAATATTTCCTAGTGTATGACGGAGTAGCACGTGGAGTCGACCACATCAGATGTATTTAAAGAGCCATTTAGGATGTCATTCACAGATATGGTGTACTCAAAAGACACATACTTTACTGTACCACTCACATATGATATATGTGGTGACTCATCTTAAGGAAGTTAAAAAACAAAACACTGGTGATTATTTTCACATAATATTTGACCCAGGTGGGATACTTTGACGCACTTCTCGTCACACGCAGTTTCTGTATTACCCACGTCTTATTTTTTAGCCTCGCCGCGCTATTGCTCCATCGTTCCACTCCACTGTACAGGCATTCACATTTTCATTTCTAAAACTGAGGTTACTACTGTGATCAGACTTTTTTTTTTTTTAAATAAATCCACAATTTTGCAAGACACAAACGCCCCAATGAGTTATGCACTCCTCATCCATGTATAGGCACAATGACACATAGATTGACATCCTAGCACGTTTGCGTTTGTTCATTATCATAGGCATCTTCTAGTCACCATTTGGTTCTAAGTATCAGATAGATGTTGCAGGTATAGTATGTGAGCACAGGTGCAGTACAATGTAGAAATATGCTGATAGCTACTGATCGCGCTCTGCTGAACGCTGGTTTGGTGTTAAAACAGCAGGGACAAGAATGGGAAGACGAAGCTGGGCGAGCACGCGAGGTCTCGCGACGAGCTGCTGCGAACGCTTTGATCGAAGCCAAAGGGATGACGCATAAACAATTTGTTGCTTGTCGGTGCAGTCTGTAAGCCAGTAAACAGAAGGTACTAAACATTCCACTTTTTGTCGTTTTCTTTTTAAATGTGCAGAATACCTCTCAACAGTAACGACTTTCTGTTTGAACTAGTAGCTGACGCTGACGTGTGATGTTTGCTCATGGTCTTAATTTATTTTATATTAGAATGTATAAGTGAGTGTTGCAAGGTTACCATGTATCAGTCATTAAAGGTTGAGTTTGATTTAAAATCACATTTTTTTTTTGTCTCTGTTTCTTTCTCTGCTTAAATTTTCTTCCTCCTTCCCATACAACCTTGAGGTAAGGATACCTCAAAAGTATGATTGCAAAAGCATTTACATGCTGGATGATGGAACTGAATTCAAAGTCAGCCAAATACCCAAGACAGCCACTGCTATTAATTTAAAAGCTAATGCACACGATCTGTTTAAATGCTGCTGCTGCTTCTTTCAGCTGCTACCTTTGGAGGTCGCCAGAGCAGATCATCTGGCTCCATCTCACCCTGTCCCTAGCATCTTCTTCTGTCACACCAGTCCTCTGCATGTACTTCTTAACTAAATCCACAAATATTCTTTGTGGTCTTCCTCTTTTCCTAGATAACCCTATCTCCAAGATCCTTTGCCCAGTATATCTATCGCTATCCATCTTTGGCACATGCCAAAACCATTTCAGCCTTGAGAGATGGTCCCCACTCTCACTATAGACCACCATGTGAACTATGTCATAGTCCACAGAGGCTCCTGCCTGACCTCCTATGTCAACCTGTCAATGACCACTGCAAATAAGAAGGGTCTTATTAGAGTCGATCCCTGTAATCCCACCCCCGCCTGTAACCCATCTGTTGCTCCTAGTGCACACATCACCACTCTCTCACTATCTTCATATCCATCCTGCACCACTCTGGCATTCTTATGTACCACTCCTAACTCCTTCATGCAGTACTACAGTTGCCATCTTACTTATCCCCTCATGGTTTGTCTCCTCAGTTTTTTCTCTCTGAGGTTACTACAGCTCTGCATTTCACATGTGTCATTAAATCCTATTCTTTTTTTTCTTTTTTAAAAAAAAAAGAAGAAGAAGAAGAAGAAGAATGAACAACAGCTTTTATTCATTACTAGCTGGTCTTGGATGTTTTGGTCAACATCATAAAGACTATGCCACCAAACAAGAAAACTATCCTCCAGGTTGGTAGAGGGCGCTCTTCTTCCTGTACGTGACCGGAAACTTGCATACAAAGCTCAAGGGAAAAAAAAGAGACCGGTTTGGAGTAGCATTTAGTAGCATCCACCAGCGACATACAAATAACTTCCAGCTGATTTGTATTAAATTTATTTTCCATTTTTTGTGAGTCTAGTATCTTATCTGTTCGGAGAATGGGTAGGAGCAGGAGTCGAACTCCTCCAAGACGAGGTAAGAAACTGAAGTAGCTAGCTGTTTTTCTCTGTTAACGTCGTCTCTTCGTCAACACGCCAAGAAGTAAATGTGCTTTATGAAATCGCGTTTTTCTGTCTGATAAAGATAATAACCTATACCTCAAAAGGACTAGAAGCAAAACTGATATTTTAATTGTAACTGTGTGCATTGACTGGGTTGTCGTATTAACAGAAGGTTCTAGATGTGTTGAGAACTCACAGTAGCTTCGATACGATTCCCGAGCTGCGTTCACGTACTGTGCATAAAATGGGAGATAAACAAAAACACTCTCCAGGTGTCCACGGGAGGAGAAGACGCCATCCTAACCAGCAGTGCATTTTTGGGTCTGATGTAGGGTTGTTGTTGTTTTTTGTTTTGTTTTGTTTTTTTGTTTGATTGGGGTTTTTTGGAATAAAAAACTGCATATTAAAAATATATATTTCTGCGTGATTTATCAGGACACATTAACGTGTGTTTTGCAAAGATACAGCTTTGATGCAAAGATACATAAAATCTGCTGGACAAATTACAGTTTAATTTCCCGCGATTTTTGTATGATCAGTTTGGGAAATCCAATACACGGTCCTCTATTTTTAGAGGTTAAAAATTGATGCATAGTGGACTAACAAGCAGTTTCACGGTCAGTCGAGGACTGTATGCTTGTTGTACTGTCACGCATGAAGCGGATATAATATCTCATAGCCTCTCACTGTCATTTCAATTTTTGCTAAATAGTTAACGCAACATTTTTTTTTTATTAAACCCTATAAATTAAAGGTGAAAGTCTATGCTATGATCACGTCTCGTGGGTTCCTAAATGGTACAGTACTTTTGACTATAAATGGCAAATGAACTGGTACTAATTTAGCACCTTCTACTCGGTTTGCTTTTTACTACAACCAAGGTAAGCAGCAAGAAATTGTGTGCTGGTTATGGTTGGCCCAATTTCAGACATGATACCAGTACCTATGAAAATACATAATACTCCATCCTACACAAGTAATAGTAAAACAGTTATTTCTAGAAAAAGTTGTTAAATTTCAACCAGTTTTTCCCAATTATATGTGACATTTAGAGGTTTTATTTTATATGGTATGGCAGAAATACAACACAGTACAGAAGAAAATAGCCGACGTTTGGATTTTTAAGACTGCTACAGTATATAGATGCCAGTCTGCTGTTCAAGACGCTTCAGTTAATGCCATGATCTCATTTCCTCCTCCAGAAAGAAGACGTTCCCGCTCAACTTCTAGAGAGCGTGAGCGAAGACGAAGGGAGCGGGATCGCTCTCGAGATCGGGAACGGGACCGGGACCGTCGCAGGAGTCGCTCACGGTCTCCTCACAGGAGACGCTCAAGGTGAATTTTTGTTTGTTGGTGTTTTTGTGTTTAGAGAAACTTTGTTTTCAAGACTAATATTTCCACCTCATTTACTATTTTAGAGACCTTACCCATGCAGAGCTGTGATAGATTTTGGTCGGAATGAGTATTGTTAGTATATACTGAATAAACGGCAGTTTCCAGTTTACTATCACAGAGAAGTGTTGTTTCAGATGAGTAGTGGTGCACTTGTGATTTTCTTTGCCCTTTGTTTACAAACTTTTTGTCAAGATTCTTTTAATCAAAACAAGAGCACCACAAAGTGCCTTATTCGCTCTGATTAGATGTGATAACCCATCCTGCAGCCATCACTGTGCTCCTTTTGCAGGTCTCCCCGACGTCATCGATCCTCCTCCCTCTCTCCTTCAAGACAAAAGGAGAGACGAGATGATGAGCGCAAAGACTCAAAAGAAAAGACAGCAAAGCCCATTCAGATCTCAGGTATCGGACATTATCTATACACTTGCACATTAAGCAGGAATCTTAGTTTTTCAGGCATTTTGTAGTAGCAGAGACTAAATTCAATGTTTTTCTATTTTTTAAATAGCGGAGGACATGCAGGGCAAAACGGAGGAGGAGATTGAGATGATGAAGCTTATGGGATTTGGTTCCTTTGATACCAGCAAGGTGAGAGTTGTTCCATGTGTTATGCAGCCACAAGGGGGTGCAGTTTATTTCTAATAAAGTCCACTACACACACACAGTATGTTTGCATTTATTTCAGTGGATTGAAATGTAACTTCCAAAAGCACATTGGCACTGATGAAATCGATTAGAGCAGCTGTTGTAAAAAGCAGGTTGTCCCTGTTTAAATAAAGGGGACATTTTTCACGTTTTTCCCATGACTCTTTCTATTTAAGGGAATACTGTTGTTTTTGAGTTATGGTTCTTTTCCCCCCCCTGCTTATCTGTCAACCCTTTTAAACCCAAGGGAGTGTGCACGCTCCGATTTGCATAACTATTTTCAAATCCCTATTATATTTTCATTTTTGCTGCAGGTTGTAAAAAATGAGTGTATCTCAAAAATGAAATTATAAAGACACTCAATTTCCTGTGGCTGGGAACTATTTTGTGGAACTTTGCATTTACAGTTTTGAGGGATATACCTCTGAAGTTTCTGTAACTAGAAAAATGTGTAAAAAAACCAATTTTCAGTTTCTTTTTTAGTTTATTGCACATTTTTTATGTAGATACTATGGACATATTGCATGGGTATGATTTAAATTTAGGATATAATGATTTTATTGATATATAGCAACTGGAAATGCTCCAAAAATGGCACTACAGCATGTAATAATGTAAAGATAAGCTCAGGCGGACTTGGTTCTATGGTGGGCTTGAAACGGTTAAATATTGACATAATTGACACATACTGAAATGTTTGTACATGAATGTAGAGCAGCTTTCACATGACAGCAAGCCCCCCATGGCTAATGTAAGTTTGCAATACTGTGCAAGAGTCTTGAGCCACTCTCATTTATTTTGCTTCTATAACGAGCAGTGTTGGGTCCACAGATAACAGATAGTTTGGCAAAGAAACAATTTAAAATTGTATCTTTAGGGACTTTTGTTGCTAATAGCCTGTCACAGTATCTAAAAGTAATATTCTTTTGAAGTAGGAACAAATCCAGCAATGACCTGGCACAGGGAAGCATCTGACCCTTCAGGTGGTCATCTCCTGTTCACTGAAGCCTCATCAAAAATAGTGTTAGTGGAAAGGTGAAACCATTCTTAAGGAAGAATAAAAGGAGAAAAGGCTGAAGTGTTCCAAATTACACAAGAACTGAACTGAAAATCGGTGGTAACAAATCTTAGACATGATAAATCAAAATATGAGTTTCTTGGTTCAGTTTTTCATAACATGTATGCAGGAGGTTAAGATAGAGGTACAACACTGAGTGTCTGCAGCAATCTAAAACAGAGGGTGGAGGCTTTTTTGTGGTTTGGGGCTGCACTTCAAGCAGTGCTGTTCAGTATGAACACAGAAAAGTACCATCATTTTAATCAACCATGTAATAGCATCTGGAAAGCATGTGACTGGCAAGGGCTTCATTGTTCAGCATGACCCAGTCACACTGCCAAAGAACAAACCACAACAGAGCAGAGAACCAACAATAAACAGGAATCAGCGAGAAACAAAACAGAAAAAAAAACAAAAGCAAAATAAAAAATAAAGAAAAAAAAAAAAAAAAAAAAAGTGAGAGATAAAAAAAGAGAAAAAAAAAGGATAAAAAACCTCTATTATGAAAATGATCAAAAGGGGAAAATAAATGGATAGACTTAAAGTAATCACTAAATAAAGAGTAGCAGTTACAAGATGTGGATGAATAGTTGCAATTATAAACTAATAGTTATGGTTGCGAAAACTGTTTATCCAATAAGAGTTGGTAAGCTTAATCTAATCACAAAGAGCAAACAGTGGGTTGAAAAGGGTCACTTCAAAAATCAGTCCCATTGAACACTAGCAGTGTTATTGTTGATAAAGAGGTTCCTCTGGCAGGCCACTGGGTTTGTGTCCTATAAACAAAACTGTTTTCCACTGATCAAAATCCTTCAGTTCTGTGAAACACATATTTAGAGAATTCCAACTGCTATCATGAGCTTGACCCAATTCAGCTTCATCTGTACACTGTCATGTTTAACTAAGAATGTTTTTTAAAAGTTTGTTTTGTAATATGTCATGCAGTAACATTGTTTTTACACAGGGGAAGAAGACTGATGGATCAAGTAACGCGTATGCCGTCAATGTGACCATGAAGAGAAAATACAGGTAGGTCATCGAACAGAAACAAGCATTTGTAGTTGTTTGGTTGTGCCGTGTCTGTACAGTGCAGCACGTCTCTTTGGATATTTCATAAGCTTTCCTTTGTTAGTGACGGATCCTTTTTAAAGTTACTTTTGGAGCCCCAGCTGTTAGTCGTGTTGCTGAGTTACGTCAATTTTTCTGCCCCCCCTTCACAGTGTGCACTCTCAGCATCTATCACTGTTAAAGTAGCCAATCACCTCCGCAGGTGTTTCTATGCAGAGATGCCAACGCTCCCATTGGTGCTCGATGATGTAATCTGTGTGTGTTGGGAGGGAAACAGTGATATAATGTTTTCTTATATATTTATTTTACAGGCAGTACATGAACAGAAAGGGTGGATTTAACAGGCCGCTGGACTTCATTGCTTGAAAGTATCATCAACTCCGATGTTCCCCAAGAAGTTTACCTGTGTGTACCCTCCCTTCCCCCCACCCTTATGAAAATAGATGGCATGTTCAATATCTTACGTGTTTTGTGTGATTTAACAGTCGTGTATATACCTTTTTATAAGCAAATGCATACATGTAAATAGTAGTACCTGCAAGATGTACTCACAGCTGGGTGAGACTGAGCTTAATATTGTTGACATGGATGATTTATTTCAAATAAAAGCATTTAAAAAACATGCTTTCTGTCCTGATTATGAAAATGAATTTATTAAAATGCCTATGCACTAATTAAATATCCATCCGCTAGGTTGTGCAGGAACACGGTTTCTTTTGAAATAATGGCTAAATATGACATTATTCATTGTCCCTTTTAAGGATTGAATAGGATCAGATTGGTTATTCCTGTGAATGCTTGTGTTTCTTTCTAGTTTATATATAGCATAATCTCATTTGGTGTTCTCTGAGAAATGTATCCAATAGGATTGTTTCAAATCCAGGTTTAAATTCAGTCCTACATAAAGGCTGCTAAGAAACCTTTCCTGGGGTGGTATTTGTTCAAGTCCAGGGTTTATCGTGCTCTAAAATAATGATCCCTTCATTTTGAAGCAAGCGTTTAAATGTTTCATACTAGATTGGATCAGCTGTGCTGTCTGACAGAACCGACCCGACCCACCAAAATAACCAATCCCTGTACTTGTCCTTACCCCAACTACCAATCATAACCGAGCATCCCTCCGGCAGATCCAATCTAGCACCGAGCCTTTTAAAGCCATTATGGGATCAGAAAGCAACAAGCGGGCGCATGCGTGCAGATAGTTTGTGACGGAGAAGAAAGAGACCAATGATAAGAGGTCATGTGAATTGGACCAATCATGTATCACAAAATTAATTAAATGGAACAACGGGAGCCAATCGCTGCCATACACCGAGAAACAGCATGGCAGAGAGGCGTGTTGATTGTCAAAAGCGGGCGTTGTCAGATAGGCTCGTGCCCACTAGGGCCAATAGCTGTCAAGTTCATAGAAAAAAACAACCAATTACTGTGTACGAGTGTATAGCGCAGAAACTGTCTCCATTGTGGCTGTACACGGTGTATTTCAGCCGATGTTAATTAGAACCAAAATGGCTGCTTAAGGTCCACAGTTGAAGTAAGCGCTGAACCCTCTCTGCAATTGACGGTTTTAACGCCGAATAGGAGCTTGAGAGGTTATACTCAGTATCCAATCACATTGCAGCACCCAGAATCTTTGTACAGTACAGTAGAGAGCTGGTGTCCAGATCAACAAGCCACTATTTTGGAAGCTGTTTGACAAACAGTCACTCTTCTTCAGTTGATGTCAGTCGCTATCTGCGTTTCCAGCGAGACGTATCGCGCGTTAAACCGTTGCAAAACTAACCAGCCACAGCTCTAAACCGATAAGGTTGGATGACATCGTCGGCTGAACTTTAAAACAGCTAGCTCTTTTATATATATATAATTTTCACAAGGCAAGTGTCTACCAACTGTACATGCTAACGTTCTTTTTTCACTGGCCGAAGCTTTTCCAAATACAACCGAGATAGCAAGAACTTTCCATATTTAATTTGACAGCTTAACATTGGCGCTAACGTTAGACAGCTTTTTTTTTCGCCAAATAGAGCAATTCGGGGATTATTTTTGTATGTCACACAGCCTTTCGTTTTGTTTTTGTCAACAAGCCGTCTTTTCTCGAAGAGCCAACTATAAAGCCGACGATATTTAGCTGACATTTTGACTTAAAGGGGAACAAAGTAACCTTAGCTCCTGAAGAAGTGTTATTAGTGTCAGCCCTTACTAGCCAGCTAACACCATATCCTTAATTTAACAACCACAGAGGAAGTTTGGCTTTTCGAACTGACTGGTGCTGCATTCAAGGCCTTTAACAGTGAAGGACCAACTCTGTAACGCGCTCTCTCTGGCTCTTTAAAAATAATAACTGACAGAACAGCGAGCTACCTAAGTGTGAAAAAGAAGCAGGACCCTGAAGCAGCCTGTGTACAGCCACGGAATTCCTTTTCGGATTGTTAAATTATCAGTGTTATTGTTTAAAATGGCGGCGATCGGAATGGTGCAGATGTTGATCGAAGCAGCCGAGTACCTTGATCGCAGGGAACGAGGTAAAGTATCATTGTATTATTTTCTACTCTCTTTTCTTATTCACTCTGTGCAATATAACATTAACACCCCTCCCCCTCCGAATCACTCGGATTTAAGCACAAGTCGTTTGATGCTTCCCCAAATCCTGTTGCTTCCCATTATTATTCTTATTACATCAAACAATCAGGCCATGAAATAAATTCATAAATGTCGAATTTCAAGCATCGATTCAGCAGGCTGCATCACCTGCCCCAAACAGGTGCTAATAAATATGTGATTACAGGCGCATAATGCATACGTATAAAGACAAACGGGCATTTGCATTCGCGATAATGAAAGAATGAATGCATATGTGGCAGATGTGCAGGGAGACATTGTTTTCGTGGACGCCCCTCCTTTCCTTCTGTTGTGGTTTGCTAGTGGGGTTTATTCCAGTTCAAGATGACATCATTGTCCATCCCGAGGAAGGGGGAAAGGGCTAAAAGATACTACTTGAGACCCATTCCATGCATGCATGCTAAAAAGCATAAGACATTGCTGCGGGATGCCAAAAGCTAAAGCTGAAATGTGACACATTGTGCAGTCTCTCCTTCTGTTCGCTGTGGCTATATTTTGCATTGCAGGATTTCAGGACATGTGACCACTATGTTGTTTACCTGCTTGCAGAAGCTGAACATGGCTATGCCTCCATGCCGCCATTCATCAGCAGCCGGGAGAGGGAAAGTTTGAAAAGGAAAAGCAAAAGCAAGAAAAACACAAGTAGCAGGTAAAGGCAAAGCTGTACATGCCTGATTGGTTTTCTGCTCTGCAACAAGTCGCCCATCACATCCCCACTTCAGGGGTCCCCCGCACCTCCCCCCTCCTCTTCCCCTCCTCACTTCTTGGAGGATTAAGCCATTCTTCATCACACTAGTGTTTGTGTTTCAAGTCAAAATCCTTATTTGGTGCTTGTGATGTGAGGCTTGCTTTTTAATTTTTTAAAATTTTTTTTATGCATTTCCGTACTGTGCTTCCAGCTGGATACGCTAACTGCCCACATTTAAAATGGCAGGAAGTGCAGTGAGATCACAGATAGCAGCCTCATCTCTATTTGCATAATTTGTTATATTCACAGCAACACTGTTGAAACAGCGACTTTGTGCTCTTGGCCAAACATGGTCACAATCAAACATCCAAAGCTTTGAAAAGGGTTATGACTGCGAGACACTACCTTGTTGTTTTGACATCAAATAGTAACCGGGTCAGACACACTGCTACAAACACCAATCTAACTGCAAAGAAAAGACAGACAGGCTAGGCCAATTTTATAATCAAAATAACATGTTAATGCCTTTTACGTAATATATCTGCAAAAAAAATTGTATTTGTATGTATCTGATCATGTATTTTGCTGAGAGCTTATTTGTAGAAGCTTTCGGATTGTTACAGAACATAAGTCAGCTCTCTGATCTTCCACTGTAAGCTATAGATACGGTTAGCTTCTGATCACCATATCTGCATTTCAGTCATTCCTGCACACTTTACGATGTTGATGAAGAATAGAACAGAGGATTATGAATTAATCTATTATCTTTTTATCACTGACCGCCACAGTGAGAGCACAGCTGATGTCAGCTAATGTTTTAACTGTTATTTTCTTATTTTCTCATAGAACATACAACACTATCTGCAGTCAGTTTACTAATGGACAGTGTTCTTATCATGAATGTTTAGTCATTGGTAACCAGGTGACCCTTACTGCCTCATGTTGGTTTACCAGCTAGCTTTCAAGTTATGTTGCAGTTTTAGTGATCCTTGAGATCATGCTTCCCCAGAGAGGATCTCTCCCAGGGTTGGACAGACTCCAACTCCACCGTGTACAGCGAGTGACTACAGTTGTCCCTCTACCCTGAAGTTTCACTTGGAGATGGAAGACCTCTCTAAGCAGAATCTGCAGCACATAGAGAACTGGTTCAGCTCACTGACGCTGCATAGAAGAGCAAGAACTAGTCTCACTAGCTGCATACTGAGTCGGTGGAGGTTGAGTCGGTACATAGGATTAAAGACTTACCGGAGTAGCAGCTGATTGCATTGTTTAGTTATTTATTTGATTCAAAATATTTGCAGAGAAGAAAATTCTGATAAACAGTATTATATAATAAATAACCTATTATATTGCCTGTGCCATGCACCCTATGGCACAGGGTGCATGGCACAGGCACCCCATGCCATGCGCCCTGTGCCTTGCACCCCATGTACGCATGTACGCATGTGAACATGCACGTATGTGGAGGCACATACTACTAATGGTGGTAAAGGATTGTGTTGACTGACATATGACAGGGTGGGACATGTGCAAGAGGATAACCTATGCAACCAGAACCTGAAATATCTGCTGGTGTCCACCCATCAGCTCACCTTATATGTGGACAAGGCTTTAGAAGCACTCCATAATCTGTCAACAGCACTGACATGCTGTATGCATAGGCCACTTTAGGTGTTGCTACCAAGTAATATTTTGTAATTCAGAGTCCAATGGCTAATTCATATATAACACTGCAGAAAAGGTCCTCTGATGTCACACGTATGTGTGAGTCTGTTAGGTTAAGATTACGTTTAGTCTTCCCCATGTGTTCTTTAAAGTATATGAGTGACAGATACAAACGTCCTTTAAAGTACCTTGAAAAGCTTATCCACGCATTTATTACATCCAGATTGGACTACTGTAACTCCCTCTACTCGGGCCTCCAACACTCTTCTCTTTGCCGGCTTCAGTTA